TAGGAAACCTGTGGCAAAATTCGGCCATTTTCAAGATGGAAAAAGCACTCTCTCTGAGATTTTGGTTGAAGTCTCATTTGACCATGTCAATTTGTTTTTCTCCATCTCAGTTTTTCTTCATGAATTTTCTGTATTATGATAATGTAAATTTAACAAAGCAGTTATAATATTTCTATTACCCATAATTATCACTAGCAATTAGCAATACTCACTGAGTGTTTACATTGTGCCAGGCACTATAAAAAGAAAGACATCTATTTAGACTTAGTTTAATTCAAGTAATAAAAAAGCTAACTACTCAAGTGTGTCCTCTGGTTCAGTAACCCTCCAGATTTTTACCACATGTAATGTTTGCATCATCCCTAAAAATTAAGTATGATCCTCATTTCCATATTATAGATGAAGAAATTAACACCAGGGAACTAAATATCTCCCCCAAAGTGTCATAGCTATTCAATAGCAAAACTGGGTTCCAACTCATATCTCTGAATCCAGAGCTCAAGTTCTTACCTGTTCCACCTAATTACCTCTCAACCATGTTTTTTTAATAACCCCCCACAGTTTTTCTTTCCAAAAACCTCCATGCTAAGGGTTGGAAAGGGATGAGGGGTACGTAAACCAAATTATTAGTCTGAGCTCCTCTCCTAAAAATAGTTCACTTCTCAGGAAAGACATGGTAAGTGGTATACCCCATCCTTTCTCTCTATCTCCCCCTCACCTTGCATTAGATTTTAATTCCAATTCACTGCTAAATGTGATTGGATTGATTCCCTGTGGTACTTGATACCCTGTATATGAAGGGGGCATTGCCATTTTATTGGTTGGCTAGATAAATGAACCCTTTCTGTACTACCTTCACCTCCCATTCCCACTGCGTCAAAGATGTTTATAGGGAAACTGAATAGGAGTCTTACCCTCCCTCCTCCAATTTCCAATTCCTCAGAACATATCCAGTGGGGCATAATTGAAGATCCATGCTTTGTGGGATACACCCTATGGGAAACTCCAGTGGAGAGAACTAAAGCTCACAGAAGTTAATCAGTGCTTTTACTCTTGGATTTCAAGACCTTCCCTATAAAGATGGGGCTTGAGCTTGGCTTCCATTTATAAAGTGCAAAACCTGTGTATTTAAAACATATTTACAAAACACTAAAGGTTTCAATTATCAAGGATCATAGAATACTTTCTGAGGATAATTTTTATATTATATCATAGGTAATAGTTATTTATCAATGTGACCAATAGATTTTGCAGTCTTGAGGACAGGATGAGATTTATTTACCTTTGAACATTCAGCTTGGTATAGTGCCTAGCACATGGAGGCCAGTAAAATATTTGTTGATGCACTGGTTGAATGAGTACATGAATGAAGTTCATCAGTGTATAAATCAGTCATCTTAAGGATTACTATGATGGCTATTTTTATATGTCGATTCAACTGGGCCATGAAGTGCCCAGATATTTGTTTAAACATTATTTTGTGTATGTTTGCGAAGGTGTTTCTGGAGGAGATAGACATTTGAGTCATTTTTACTCTCCAAATGGATGGGCCTCATCCAATTCACTGAAGGCCTGAATAAAAGAAAAGATGCTGAGTAAAAAAGGGTTTTCTCTCTCTCCTTGACTGTGTTCAAGCTGAGAAAATGAGTCTCCTCTTGTAATTCAAGTAATAAAAGCTAACACTTGGACTCACACTCAGACTAGAATTTAAGCATTGGCTTTCTTGGGTCTCAGGCTCATGAAACTATACTCACATATACTAATAGCTTGCCTGGATCTGGACTTACCAGTCTCTATAATCACATAAGCAATCCTTAGCAATAAATCTTTCTCTGTCTCTCTCTCTTTCTGTATATATACACATATATGTACACAAACATACACAGTTGACCTTTGAATAACATGGATTTGAACTTCACAGATTCACTTATACCTGGATTTTTTTTCAGGGTTGACAGCAAAAGCCACAAGGCATTTATTTACAACTGCCTGCTCAAGTTTTCACAGTATTGAATCAAAGGCGACTGGCCAAGAGATCTCGCCTGCTGTCTCCTGAGTATCCGCGGAGGCCAGCCAAAGCTTTTAGCAGCCTTCAGGGCCGGGACCGGGCAGGGCTGCAGGTCGCCCTGTGTGCAGGATGGAGTGGTCCGGTGAGCAATCCCAAGAGAAACTCCAAGTTCTCGGGGTTCCAGGGTTGCTGGCCTTGCGCCCTTCCTGTGCTGGCAAGGACCCTCCTCCCATCCTGAGGCTTCCAGAAGCCAGGCAACCACGTATGGCAGCAGCTGCTGCTAACCACTGCCTGTGGGTACCCCTCCACATAAGGGGCAGCTGTATGTACTATGCCTCCCAGCCACTGTTACCTCCTGTGGGCCTGCCCTGTGCCTGCTACTGCAGATCCAGACCCCCAGGTGCAGAACATCACAATCCGGGGGCCAGGCCAGCTGCCTCCGCAGTCCCTGGCCTGCCGGGGCACCTCTAGGCCGATTTTTTTCAATAAATACACACACAGACTATTGCAAATGTATTTTTCTCTTCGTTGTGATTTCCTTAATAATACTTCTCTAGCTTACTTCATTGTAAGAATACAGTCTAATACATATAACATACACAATATGTGTCAATCAGTTGTTTATGTTACTGGTAAGGCTTCCAGGCAATGGAAAGTTGTTAGTAGTTGAGCTTTTAAGGAGTCAAAAGTTATACACAGATTTGCAATTGCAGGAGAGTGTTGGTGCCCCTGACCCCTGCATTGTTCAAGGGTCAACTATAAACTGTATAGGATAGTTATCTATCATCACCATGCTGTGCATTAGATTTCTAGAACGCATTCATCTTGCATAACTGCAATTTTGTACTCTTTGACGAACATATCTTCACTTCCTCTTCCTCACAGCCCCTGGCTACCACCATTCTACTCTCTGCTTCTATGAGTTTGATTATTTTAGATTTTTCAGATAAGTGGTATCCTGTAGCAGTTGTCTTTCTGTGTCTGGCTGATTTCACTTAGCCTTATGACCTCCATGTTCATCCATGTAGCTGCAAATGGCAGGATTTTCATAAGGTCTATTGCTCTCATTTCTGGCTATGTATCTGAAGGAAGTGATATCAGGATCCTGAGAGATATGTATCTGAACTCCCATGTTCGCTGCAGCACTATTCATATTTGCCAAGACATGGAATCAACCTAAATTTCCACTTATGAATGAGTGCATTAAATAATGTGGTATATACATTAAACGGAATATTACTCAGCATTAAAAAAGTTTCCTTCCTAAATGAAATTAATTTGTTAACCATGTTGTTTCATGTTTGAATGAGGTCACCATCTAATTGTTAGGCACAGTGTCTGACATTCAGTAGACATTGAGAAGGAACGAGTTAGTCCTTGTGACACTAATAGGAGTTGTCTTTGGAACTGTTCCCAGCTTTTCCCCAAATGTGCTTCTACCAGTCTGGGGAGGGAGGGCAACCATGGAACTTAGATTGTGTCAGGAGAGAGCTCAGAAACTAATCCTGGAAAGCTGCATATGAATATATGTAACACAAATTTATGTAAGAAACCATGGTGGATGTTCTAAAGGCAGTGTAACAAAGTGGTTAAGCTTCAGCTCTAGAGTCAGATGACCTAGATCCATGTTCTGATAGCCATGTGATTTTTTTAAAATTTTATTTTATTATGTTATGCTAATCACCATACATTACATCATTAGTTTTTTTTTTAAAGATTTTATTTATTTATTTGACAGAGAGAGACACAGTGAGAGAGGGAACACAAGCAGGGGCAGTGGGAGAGGGAGAAGCAGGCTTCCCGCTGAGCAGGGAGCCCAATGCGGGGCTCGATCCCAGGACCCTGGGACCATGACCTGAGCCGAAGGCAGACGCCTAACGACTGAGCCACCCAGGCACCCCACATCATTAGTTTTTAATGTAGTGTTCCATGATTCATTGTTTGCGTATAACACCCAGTGCTCCATTCAATATGTGCTCTCTCTAATACCCCTCACCCAGCTAACCCATCCCTCCCGCGAACCCTGTTTGTTTCTCAGAGTCCATAGTCTCTCATGGTTCATCTCCCCTTTTTATTCCCCCCCCTTCATTTTTCCCTTCCTACTATCTTCTTTAAAAAAAAAAAAAAAAAAAAAAAAATGGGCGCCTGGGTGGCTCAGTTGGTTAAGCGACTGCCTTCGGCTCAGGTCATGATCCTGGAGTCCCTGGATCGAGTCCCGCATTGGGATCCCTGCTCAGCAGGGAGTCTGCTTCTCTCTCTGACCCTCCCCCCTCTCATGTGCTCTCTCTCTCAAATAAATAAATAAAAAAAAACTTTAAAAAAAATAAAAAAACAAAAAACATGTAATATATTATTTGTTTCAGAGGTACAGCCATGTGATTTTATACAAATTGCTTAATTTTTCTGTTTCATTTCCTCACCTATGGAAAAAAAATATTAGTATATACTTCATAGGATTGTTTTAATGGTAAGAATTAATGTAGGCTCAGTACTTTTAGCATTTCTGACACATAGGAAGAACTGAATTTGTGCTTGTGATTATTATCATGAACACCTTTTAGAAAGGAAGAAGCTAAGGCTTAGAAAAGTAAAGCAACCCACCTAAGATGATACAGCCAAGGAGCAGAAGAATTGAGTCTTGAACCCAGTTCTACCTAATTCCAAAATCTGTGTTCTTTCCCATTATTTCAGTGTTTCTCAAATTTGAGTGATGGATAGACTCCTTTCAAAAGAAACAGAAGTTCTGTTTAATGTCAATGTTGATTTAAATTATTTTTGTTAAAATGTTGCTAAAATATATCCAATTCTAAACCTGGATGTAACTTCTTATGTCTATAAATCAATTAAACTATAAAATTTAAACACATTTACTAATTAAATACAAACAAAAGTTGCAATGCAGTGAAATTCAATTTAGTAACATTTATTTAATGTGAAGGATGTTGTTGTGTTCTTGAAATTAAAACCACTCACAAAGGAACATGGTACTCACTGTTAAGGTTCAAGTTCTTTTGCGGTCATCGTGCCCATACATCTGTGTGCTGTGAGATCAGTCATTTTTTCCACCACTCTTCTCTGTTCCAACTACTGTGGAACCATAACATGATGTCATTTGGCCTTCACTTGGCAGAAATGCACCGTTTACATAGTAATTCTGCCTCCATGTTTTTTTCACTCTAGCCCAGGATGAAGTAGAACTACTTGGGTACAACAAACTCAAAACAAAAACACTATTGAATATGGGGACAATTCTTGGTTGTGAGGTTGCCATCAGATGGTCAAAAATATGCTTATGTACATATTTTTAGATTGCAATTGATATGAAATTCCCAAGTTAAAAAATCTCATAGACTACTGGGAATATGCTCAAGGATCCCCAGAGAACAAAAGACCTTAGTTTAGGAAGTTCTGAGCTGCTCTCTTTTGGTCTTACTCCTCTCTCCTCCCATCTGGAAGAAGCATTCATTTATGCTAAATGATTTAGAATAATGTTTGAGTCATGCTAACATAGTGCTGACTGGAAGGAAGTAAGAAGCAACAGTGAATTACCTTTTCAAGTTTGTGTACAATGGAGAGTGACAAAGATATTTTTCCTGAATATGTAGAATTAATGATGTTGGAGAGGGATGATTTTTATTTATTGCTGGCTTTCTTGGTTGAGAAAAGACGGAGTCACGATCATGGCTGACTATTATTTTACTCTTTTTAAAGCGACAATCAGTGACTAATGCTTATCTGGCATGTTATCATTTATAAAGGGCTTTCTCCAGTTTGATTATCTTCCATCTTCAACCACACCCAGATGAAGAAATTTCTCAAAGCAATAATCATAAGTTAGGGAGCTGATATTTAAACCAGGTGTCCTAAATTTGAACTTCCCTACTTTCTGTGGTACCACGCCACCTCCCATGAAGCATACTGCTGCATGCACCCTCTTCTGGACACGAATGGGAGAGAAGGCATCATATATTGTATGTTATGCCTGAGTTTCTCCCTCTTCAGAGGCAAGAAGACTTGAACTTTCACAGAAGTCATAACAAAATGTTAAGGGCATGGAGCTCTGGACTTATATTGCATTTTTATTACTTACTGGCTCTATGATTATGGAAAAGTTATGAAAAGTTGTGTAAACCCTCCAAGCTGCAGTATTCTCATCTGAAAAATAAGAAGGCCATGCCCTTTTCATGGGGTTATTTTAAAGATTAACCAAGAAGATAGATATTAAGAGCTGGGCACAATACCTGTGCATAGCACACTATTAATATAGAATGTGTAATGTTTACTCTTTGCCAGACACTCCTTATATGCTTCACATATTAACTCAATTATTCCTCCTATAACAACCCTTTGAGTTAGATTATTTTATTCCCATTAGACAGAGGGAGAAACCAAGGAACAGACAGATTAAGTGAGTTGTCTAAGGTCACCCATCTGGTAAGTTTTGGTGGTGGGTTTTGAACCCAGACTCCTGAACCCAAAATCTGTGTTCCAGAGTTTGTGCTTATTGGAAGGCTAGCCGCCACCTCTCCATCTTTGCTAGCTTTTAGTATTGTTGCTAGAAAAAGAGATTCTCTTTATTTACTCTCCCATCCTGCCATCTACCCCTATTTCCATGGCCACTTTTGAGATCTTTTTAAGATCCTTCCCGAAATAGTGCAACATCACTCAGATCTTTTACCCAATTATAGTCTTAGCTCCATCTCATTCATTTTCCACATCGCAGCCAAGCACCAGGTCTAATGTGACCATTCCTCTTCCTCATTACAACCTCTCTAAAGTTAATAATTACCCTCCAAATATTGTCCTGATCTGAGCCCCGCTTTCCTTTCCAATCTCAGCCCCTTCCACCTCCTTCCACTTGACATGCTAGGAATCCAGACTATTTGTAGTTTCCTGAAAACGCCCTTCACTTCTATCATGCTCTGAAGCATTTTTCCTACTAGCTCGACCATATTTCTATGAATGGCTAAATTCTTCATATCCTTTAAAACTTATTTTAAGCATCCTCTTATACAAGAAGTCTTTTCTGATATCCTTACTTGTACTTCCTGAATTCTAGATGTGATTATATTCACATTTACTAAGCAAGGAAGTATTCTAATTCTCAAAAAAAAGGGCACCCCCAAACAGTACGATCAATTACTATGCAGAACTGTGACATCATGGAGGAGTTTATATCAGAGTCACTTTCGGCAGATACTAAATAGCAACTGAACCAAATGTTATCACCAGATTTCCTGCTGGAACAATAGCAGTGTTGAGTGAATCCAGCTCTGGTCGTGTTCATGTATCAAGAAATCTTTGTATAACACTTTGTGATCATCAAAGTTCAGAACATGTTTTCCCAAGACCTTCCCACCTTTTCTTTTTCCCTCCCAAGCCTCATTTCCTTGTTATTAAGTTCATGTTTGTCAAGAAAAAAATTGGCCTCTATCTATCTGATTTGTTTACACTTGACTCATCAAAAATGTCTGTAAAGATGTTTGATGTCCCAGAAGCCTCTTGAGCCTCTTGGTGGTTCTTTAAGACATTTTTTTTTTCTGAGAACTGAGACTGTTTCTGGCCAAATCCAAGTAAATGGGAACTTCAAATAACTTAAGACTATTAAAGGGATCAAAATATATGCATGAACATGCTGGCATGTGCTCTCTTGTCCTTAAGTTATATAACCAGGCACAAGGAAGGGTTTCAATTTCTCCCTGAAGGTAAATTTCAGGAAACAGGTTGTTGCACAACATGACCTAAGGAACCCTTCTTAAACTAGTACACAGTTCCCTGGGCCCTATTGGGATTTCTTTGTCCTTGATGTCACTAGCATTTCAAAATCAGAAGGTACCACCTCCCAGACAATAGCTAATCTAAGGATTTCTTTCAGAATGACCTTTGGCTTACTGCTGGCTAAGGCAGAGTAGGGTCCTTCCTGCCAAATCACCTGCATTCTTGCTTTCTGGCTATACCAGGTAGTCTCTCCCAGTCTGTAGAAGAGCAAGCAAGCCCAAGAAAAGATAATGCAATCCATGTGTCCCAGCATAAATGTCTCTGTTTTTTACCACATGGCCGTAAGTCATTTACTCAAAGGTTCCAAATTGTATTTTAAAAGTTCAACAAATAGTTCATTGTACAACAGACTTGGGCACTTAATTAGAAACCGCAATACTTTGCTTATTGTATGTAATATTAAATGGCCCTTTTCTTCCATTATCCAAGTGTTGTAGGTAATTTATCATGGAAGATGTCTTGTGCAGTACACTATGAAAGTACTGCAACTCTATACAAGTTACACAATTATGGCCTCGTTTGAGAAAAGGGTTTTCAAGAACACTTCCTTAATAGTTCTTCCTGGTCACTTTTTCTGATCCCTCCCAAACCACAGGATGTCCTAACTTTAAAACTTACCACAACAGCAACAAAGCCCCCATCTAGTTGCTAAACACTCTTGGAGGCTTCCTTTTTGGAATTCATTTTCAGTTCTCTGCCATTGCAAGTCACTAGAGGAAAATCATCTTATTGTTTCAAAGCCAGAGAACAGAAATTGAATTCAATCACCTCTTTGGATGTGTTGACACCATGACATCCTGATTTATCATTCCTAAACCCTATTACCCTCTTGCACCAGTCAGTAACCCTTAGAGGAAGGAAGAGATGGCCATACAGTCCCTGCCTCTATATATCTGAATGAGAAGTAGAAACTTACTTACCTAATGCCAAACAGCTGGATATGTGAATACATCCTGATGCTTCCCTTCTTTATTCCATATTCAGCCAGATGTTTGGCATCACAGAGACAACACCTAATGTTTCTAAAAGGAGTTTCAAAAATACTATGACTCTTCAGATTGGGAAGATGGGAAAACAAAGACCGAGTAAGATATAATTGAAATCTATGCAATCATGAAGGATTTAAATAAGTTGGCTATAACTCGTTCATGAGATCTCAGAATACTAGAAACATCCTTTGAAATTTGAGAGACTTTAAGCAACAAACAAAAGGACAACTGAGTTGAGAATAAACATATGGAACTTGTTACCCCAGAGGTAGGGAATGAAGATACACATGCTAATTCAAAAATATTTACATATATTCACAGACGATCAACAGAGTTATTAAAGGCAACAAAAATATTTGGGGTACATTGTGAACTTTTGGATATTGGTGTCATGGAGGACAATTCCAACTTTTAGTGTGCATTCCTTGGAGTAACTGTCTGTATCCATACACTGGGTTGGTTGAAATCCAGTCTGGCAATTGTTACTTGCATGGTAGCTGCTTATAATTATTTGTTGAATGAATATTAATATGTATAGTGCTCGAAAGCACTAAGCTTGAAAGTACATAAACTCTTACATATGCACTCACATTTTACCCTTATTTTAATGCTTTCATGTTGAAAAGGAGCAAAATTCCCAAGAGAACTGAGATGAAGGTAGCATGGGGCGGGGGGATAATGATTATGGCAGAGTAATTACAGTTTTGAGCTCTGGGGTCAGAACTGTCTAGAAACCCAGCTCTACAAATCACAGTCTTTATCACTTCAGACAAATTACTTAAACTCTCCAAGCCTTAATTTCCTTGTAAGTAAAGTGAAAATAATGAAAAGTCTACCTCCTATGGTTTCTGTGAGAATTAATGAGATATCCCATATAAAGCATATTGTCCAGTCCCGGCACATAGTAAATATTCAATAAATATAAGCTATTTTAGAGATAAGAAAGTTTATTTGCAAAGATATTAAGTAGTCTAATTATCCCACAAAACATGGCTTATTAATTATAATACTAAAAATCAAACAGAATTTTTTGGAATCTGAACCCTGTGTTCTTTCCATGTGCCTGGCATAAGCTATTTGGCCAAAGACAAAAGACTGGACTGAGTTGTCCAAGAAGAAAGAACCCTGGCACTTGGCGTCTGAATGAGCTTTCCCATACAGTGACAAATGAATGCTATAACTCCTTAAGTCGTGTATATTTTAAATGGATTTCTGTTTGTTTTATGATAAAAAATATCCAGTTTATTTTTGATTGATGATAGTCAACCATATGTTTGATTTTGTGAGCTTACCACGATCATCCTGGCAGTGTTTGCTATATATTAAATAGATTCTATCTATAGTTTTAAGTAACAACAAATATTTGCATTTATAGAAGATGTCTTATGGTTAGAAGAGGATTAGACAAAATGATCTGAAGGGAACATTGCAGAAGTGCTCCCTAACAACCTTATTCCTCCAATGAGGCCAACGTTGCAGACCAAGTTTAGCATGAAAATTAATTAATGTTCTTTCCAAGATGTCTTACAAAATAAGCCAGCTAGTGTGTTTGGATAATAGAAAAAAAGATCCTTTATAATATCCTTTTTAGTAAAATATAATCACCAAAAATATTTCATCTACACCGTGGTTATTTGTACTTAAGGGTAGAATGTGCTTAGCCACAGTTGAATTCATATTTCTCTTACTTTAAATAAAAGCGAATCAGGTTATTGCATAGTATGGGGTACACTGATTTCAACTGCTTATCTTATTTTCACTCTACCACCTCCTTCACCATCACAAACACCACGTGGCACATGCGTCTAGTGGTGCAGACCCAAAGAGTATGTAACATGTAGACCAAAGGTGGTAATTGTGTCAGTTAATCCTTGCTGTGTAACTATCACCTCAAAACATTTTGGCTTACACAACAAAATGTATGATTCCTGACAATTTGGTGAGTTGCCTGAGTAATTCCAGTCTGGGCCCACTTAGCAGCTCGGCTGGGGCTGGGGTGGTCAGGATGGCATTACTCACAAGTCTGGTTGTTGGTTCAGTGTCAGTAGGGTGACAGGCCACATGTCTCTCATTATCCCACAGCCTCGCCCAGATTTATTCACATGGTGCTGGTTGCAGGATTCCCAAGAGCAGCAAGCAGAAAGTCCCGATAAACAAGTGATTTTCAAGCCTTTATTTGTGTCATATTGTTGATTGTCTCATAGGACAAACTGGTCATGAAGGCAAGCTCACAGTGAGGTGTGGTTAAATAGACTTTGACTCAGTGGAAAGAGCTGCAAAGTCTCATGGCAAAGACTGTCATGGTAAGAGGCATAAAGAGCTGAGGTGATATCTCCCCGCTACCGCAGACCATGTAGGACACTATCTTGTGAGAATTCTCTACCAGAAGTTGTTTTGCATTTCACAAAGAACCTTTACTACCATTCTTTATTCCATTCTCTCAAAAATTTTGGAGGGAAGATCAATGATAAAGATAGGCATTTAAAAAAATTAGTCGTGTGACTTTGGTCCAGCCATTTACCATTTCATCACTAGATAGGATTTCAACAGCGTCTGTGTCATGACATTGCTGAGAGAATTAAATGAGATGATTTTGTGTAAATTATTTAGCACAAGCTCAGACTATTAGCTTTTCTTATTCATTTAAAATTACTCTCTGGGCACTTACCATACTCCTATGAATCACTGTAGAATATTTCTAAGAATTTGTTAGGTAACATTATTGAGCCAAATTATCTATACTTTATTCTAGTTTTTATCTCTTTAATTTTTTTATTATTTTAGTATAGTTGACCCAGAATGTTACATTTCTAGCTTTAACTTGAGGCAAATTACTTAGCATTTTGGATCCTATGTTGTTTTCCTCACTTGTGAAATAAGCATAAAAATAATTATATCTGCCTCATAAGATTCCTGTGAAAATTGCATATAAATACCTACAGAAATGTCTGTCACATCATAAATACACAACAAATGATGATTGTTATTATGTCAGGGCATTGGACTAGACACTATATATATATATATATATATGTATATGTACACACAGAGATAAAAATATTTATTAAACATGTCATTATGTATACTACAGCCTATTTGAAGAGTAAGACATTAAAAAGTTAACACATCAATAAATTATAATTGCAAATCATGATTAGTACCATGATAGATAATATTATGAAAAGTAACATAGAGATGAACTTCTGATCATGGGATGGCGACAGGTCTCTCCAGTAAAGTACTATTTCAGCTAAGAATTCATCAATCCAAGAAATTTGAGATTTTCCAGAAAAGAAAAATTAAAGGCAGAGATAAAACAACTTTCTCAAGGTTGTACAAGGGAGAAGTGGATAACCCAGGAAGTTTCTCTGCAATAACACAACTGCTCTAAACGTTATTGGCCCTGGGGACAAATGTTGCTGAACTCTCAGTGAGCTTGATAGCATCTCAGAATGTTAAACTCTACTCATCTGTGTGTTGTTCTCCTATTTACCTTATTCAGCTTATGGAAACTTTAACCTGAACCCTGAAAAAAACCTAAACTGTGGCTTTTGAAACTAAAAACTAGTAATTCTGTGCTTTGTTGTAGTCTATAATCCTGCCATGTAAAATTTTAAGATGCTCTTCATATTAAAGGGCAAGATTTGTGACACTGCATACAACTGTAAGCCCCAGCCATATGCTGTATATTCTATCAGAGACACAATTTATATAAAAAGACACAAATCGGAATTTAAAAAGTAAGTGGAAATAAATATATCATGCAAAAAGCATAAGAAAGCAGAGTCATTTTATCTCATATTAATATCAGATACATTTTAAGGCAAATAGTATCACCAAGTTAAAATACAGACATCCTGCAATGATAATAAAATCAGTTAATCAGAGACCATAAATGTGTGTATTTAATACCAAAGTTTCAACACTGACAGAAAGGGAGAATAGACAATCCTATAATCATAGTTAAAGTTTTTATTACCCCTTTATCAGCCATTGAAAGAATAATGGAACAAAAAAGGCATCAGAAAAGAGATAAGATGAACAACATTGTGGCCCTAACTGATAATTATGCAAGAATAAACCCAGTAACTGTCAAATACACATTTTTTTTCACTTGCTCATGGTATACTCACCAAGATCTAAAAAAAGATGCTTCAAAATGATACATCAAAAATGGTACCATTCAGGGCCATAGCTCGAGTCTCAGTTTTTTTAAAAAAATAATTAATAACATGCTTTCTTTACACATGAAATTAAACTTAGAAATTATTAATAATAATACATCAAGGAAATAATCCCATACCTGTGGACAACATAAGCACACTTACCAAGAGCCCACTACCAAAAAAGAAATCACATATAACTCCAGTCTGATCATGAGGAAAACATCAGCCAAATCCCATCTCGGAGACATTCTATAAAGTACTGGACCAGTCCTCCTCAGAACTGTCAAGGTTATCAAAACAAGGAAAGTCTGAGAAACTGTCACAGCCAATAGGATCCCTAAATGTACTGTAATATCCTGTGGGGTCCTAGAACAGAAAAAAAGGTGTTATGTAAAAACTAAGGAGATGTGAATAAAGTATGGACTTTAGTTAATAATAACTGTACCAAAAATGGTTCCTTAATTGTACCTAATTTACCAACTAATGTAGATGTTGATAATGGGGAAGCAGAATGTGGGGTACATGGGAACTCTCTGTATTACCTTCTCGATTTTTCTGTAAGTCAAAAAATTTCTGGAATGTAAGTTTATTAAAAAGGGAAATGAGAAAATAGTTTTAACTCAAAAGAATGCAAACAGGTATCAAAATTTGAGGGATACAGCTAAAGCAGTGCTCAGAAAGAAATGGATAGCTTTACATGCTTCTAGTAAGAAAGGAAAAAAAGAACTCAACCTGAAGACCTAAGATTATACCTTAAGGTAGGGAAAAAAAGCGAAGAGTAACCCCGAAAGAAGAAGAATGAGGGAAGTTATAAAGACAACAGCAGAAATCAATGAAAAAAAAAAAACATGTATAATAAAGAAAATGAACAAAGCCAACTCGACTCTCACACCTTGTTGGTTGGTGGTAATATAAAATGGTACAACCACTTTGGGGAAAAATCTGGCTCTTTCTAGTAGTGTAAAGTACACACCTACCCTATGACCCAAACATTCTACTCCTAAGTAGTTAGTCAAGAAAAGTGAAAATAAATATTCACAAAAAGACTTGTACAAAAATGTTCATAGCAACTTTGCTTATTATAGCCCCAAACTAGAAACAGCTTTACTGCCCATCAATAGAATAAATAAATGTGATTGATAACAAAAAAGAACAAATTCCCAATATAAGCAATGTATATTTCCATATAATACCTATTTCAATGTCCATAACTCTGTGACATATCATTATTCCCCTTATTCTAGATATGAGAAGTCTGAGGCACAGAGATGATAATTTGCCTAAACGCAGATCGCTATAGCGAGGGACAGACCCAGGACTCAAACCCTGTTGGGTGCCAAATGTTTTGCTCTTAAGCAATATATTATGCTTCCCTGTGTTGACCTAAAACAATCAGATCCCTTGAGTGATGTGTAATACAAAAAGGTTTTCTTGGAAAACTGTGCTAAAATATGTGCACGCACACCGTGCTCCTAAGCAAGCGTAGTTTTAGGTGCAAGATGATTCCATAGCATCGAGTCTTACTTGCTCCTGGATGCACAGACCTAGCCAGACACGGGAAGTCTGAAGAAAGATCGACATATTGCCAGTTCTAACATGGCTGCTACCACCACCAGACCGACTGGGGGAAGAATCTGTGCTGACAGATTAGGTTTCAGGAGATACAGATTCTAACACCAGCTTTGTGACAAGGCAGCTGAGAACTAGTGTACGTCACATCACCCTCTGAACTTCATCCATCGATGAAGGAGGCAGAACTTGAGCGTCGACCTTCTGTTAAGTTAGGAAGTTCTATGTCTCACCTCCTAACAGATGAAATCCTAGTTCCACTTTCTCATTATTATTGCTCATTTCTAATAATTGAGCCATAATAAACTAGCATCTGTAAGAACATAATTTACATAGAATAAAAATTATTTGCAATTCAATGTCCAAAAAGACTTTCTCCTATTGGGAGGATTGTAATCGTGGTGAGGAGATGCTTATGATACAGTAGAAATGAGAAGTGGCTTCTTAGGGATAAGACCAGCAGGGTTCAAATCCCAGTGCAGAGCTTTCCAGCCACATGAACCTGAACAACGCACCTCCCGACTCTGTTTCCTCATCTGTACGTTGAGAATGTAAGTGCATATATCTCAATGACTTATTACGTGCTCTGCCTGAGCAGCCATTGCCAGAACCTGTCCGGACCCCATCCTTTCCCAAAGTAACTCCGACTTGCTGCCAAGAAGACCCCCCCTTAGTATCCGCCTTCCCCTGCTTTAAGCTGAAAGGGCTAGGGGAGACTAGATGAACTCTGGCTTTATTAATACCCTGGATATAATAAGGTAGGTTTGTTTAAAGTGGTGAGATATACTATAAACTCAGCAAGGATAATCAACCTCCACTTGTAG